TACCTCATTCAGCTTTTTGACAGTTAGAAGAGTCAGAATATATAAAATGCCTGGAAAGGTGCCTGGTGCATAGCCAGCATGTATGTCTTAGCTGTAACAATGAGGAAGTCTGGGGTCCCCTGGATTTCTTGGAGAAGCTTGGTGGAGAACTGGATCTCTAGATGTCACAAGAATGGGACAGTGGTGAGGGCGGGAGGTGGTAGGGACAGTGGGTTTCTATTCTCCAGCCTCCTCAGCCTCCATGTCACCTCTCTCTCCCCTATGAGTTTTTGCAGCCTGGAGCCCCTCGGCCTCGCCCTCCTCTGACCCTCACCTTTTAGCTGCTTCTTAAAAGGAACCCTTGGCATCTCAGCCTGGGACACACCTCCCCAGTTGGAGGCAAATGTGCATGAATGTTTGGGCATCACTGCGTCTCTGTTAGGAATCTGAGCACCTTGAGTAGGGGAGAGAAATAACAAGGAAGGCAGGCTTGTCTCCACAACCCCCCTCCCTTCTTAGGTGTAGAGTGTGGCAGCCTTCCTGTCTCCTGGGGACCCAGTATCTCAGCTGCCTACCATCCATCTATCAACCAGGACCCATCCCTGCCTCACAGATTCTTCACCCCTGCATGGAGGGGGCATGAGTGTGGAGGATGGTGGCACTGAATAAGGAGGGTGTTGGACATGGCCCCTGGAGATCCAGGGTCTGTTGTCCTGGGTTGCCTCTTTCCCTCTATGTCTGGTGATATGACTCCTCTCTCCCCCAAATCCCTTTTATGCAGCTCCCCTCTTCAAGATACAGCAAGGACAATGGTGGGGATGCTCTGTGGTCAGCCACTAGGGAGCTTCTGGAGTGGGGGACTAATCCCAGCTATAGTTCCCATGGTTGCAGAGGAGCTTGGGGGACTTCTGTGTCTCTTGCGGAGGGAGGCAAGCATAACTGTGGTAGAAGAAGCACTGGCTGGGAGTCGGAGGCTGGGCTTTTGCCATTCACCAGTTGCTGACATGGGGCCTGGGTTTTCACAATCTGGAGACAATGATGGCCACCTCACTCAGAGTGAGTGAGGGTAATAATGTGGGATGACACCTGTGGTTAGTCATGTTGCATCCTGGCACCAGGACCAACGCCTGTGGATCCTCCTCTCTTCCCAGGACCTGGAACGCTCCAGGGTGGGGATACACATGCCACTTGGAACCAGAGACAGTTCTCAGTCTCTTACAGAAGCATCTGGGGCTGGGGGGATGGGGGGCGGCCCAGAATGTGGTTTTCAGGCATATGGTGTTGCCTGCTCTCCTCCCTGGCAAGCTAAGGCTGGGGTACCAAAGGGGACCTCCCTCTTGTATGCCAGTGTGCGACAGGGATCAGAAGTTCCCAGGGTAGATAAGGGGAGCAAGATGGCACTTGTTGGTGCCCAGAAAATGCTATGCTTGCTCCCCTGCTTTGGAGGCACCCAGTCTGGGGACCAAGAACTGGGGTTAAAGGTTAGGGCCAAAGGTGCAGTCACACCTCCAGCAGTGGCAAAGAGTAGCATGATTGGACCCAGCCCCCAGCTCAATTCTTCCTCCTCTCTTCCTCTTGTAAAGAAGAGATGAGCTCTTGGCTCCTAGAGCCTTAGCTGTCTATTTCATTTTCTCTTTTACCCAGGCGCGTGGGCGAGGGAAGGGGAACGGAGACCCGAGGCTTTGGTGGCTATCGGCATTTTTTTACACATCAGTGAGTGGGTGTGTTGTGCGTGCATCCATGTGTGCGTGTTTTGTGCACGTGTGGGCTGGGGAGGGCTCTGAATATCTGCCGGAATGGGGTACCCGGAGCCCGCGGCTCTGCGCATGCGGGGTGAGTGTGTGTGTCTGCACGTGTCTGTGTGTGTGCAGGAGACTCAGCTGCATTTACTTGCTCGCGCTTGCTCTGCCTCTCTCGCGCGGGCTCACGCGCTCACTCTCGCGCGCTCTCTTCTCTCTCTCCTCTATGTCTCTCTCTCTCTCTCTCTCTCACACACACACACACACACACACTCACACACGCAATTTTCAGTCCCTCCCTCCCCCTCCCTCTCTCTCACTCCGTTTCCTCCCTCCCTCTCCCTCTTCTCTCTCCCTCCTCTCTCCGTCGTCGGTCCCTCTCCCCTCCTCCCCGCCTCTGCCAGTTCTGCTTGGGTGGGGGCTATCTCCCGCCTCTCTGGGGTGCCAGGGAGAACGTCGATGCTTTTCTTTTCCCTTCCACCATTCCCTGGGTGGTGCTCCCCAGGGCTTGCAGACAGCTCCTCTCTGCAGCTTCCTCCTTGGAAGAGGGGAGTGGGGAAGGGAGGACCCCAAGCCCTATGCCCGTGATGCCATCTGCAGTGAGAGCCTTGGCCCCGTGACATTCATGCCTCCAGCCTTCAGCTGCCCCAGCTCCCAGCTCCGATTACCCAAGGCTGGCTGCTGGGGGGAGGGCAGGGAGAGTGTGCCCTGCCCAGGTTGGGGGTGCTCCTAACTCTGCCTTTTGGCTATTTGGATCTCCCACCTCCATTCCTGGGGGGAATTGGGGCCGGGAGCATGTAGTTCTGTGGGTTGGCAGGGAAGGGACTGAGCTCTTGAGTGTGGATGTAGGCGCAACCATCATCAGTAGGTGTGGGGTTTGGAAGTGACCCCTAGACCTGGGCCCCCTGCCTTGATGCCTGAGTGGAGTCGGCCTGGGTGGGAGGAGGGACAGGAGAGCAGCAGGTGGGTGAGGTTATGGTGGGGCGGGTGGGAAGCACAGTCTTTGATGTTAGTACTGGGCATCTGTTCCAAGTCAAGGCTACTGTTTATGTCTTTCTGTCTGTGACCTGCAGGGGGGAGTTTCCTGTTATATTCTTTTGGGGGAGAGGATCCTTTTGTTTAGGTAACCAATCTCCCCCTTATATTATAACCCCCACCCGCATCTCCCATTCTCTAGCCTTCAAGGCCCCGCAGTGGCTGAGAGATCAGACTTCAGGGTCACTGCCCTTAAGCTCCAGAATCCCGTATCTTGGGACTGGGGGCAGCGAGAGCCCACCAAAGAGTGCTGTCTCCCGCGTCTCCCATCTGCCAAGCTGATGCCTGTGTCTGTGTACTCCCCTGCCATCTCACGCCTGCCAAATAGTACCTTCCTTCCCGCCTTACTCTCCCCCTCTCCTGGCACTAGGATAACAGCAAGTTGGGTGGGGCAGTCCGCTCAGTCCATACCTGAGGATAGAACAGAGGGGAACCTGGGGGAGGAGAAAGAGGTCCCAGCCCTGAGAGGCAGCTTCCCTTCAACGCGGTGGCCTGTGTTGCTGCTGCAGCCTCCCCCTGCGCCAGACGCCCAGGGGCTGTTGGTGTTTATGGCTGCCCGTGGGAGCCCACGTTGGCACAGGCGGCAGAGTCTGCACACAGATGCCTGTGTTTGCTTGTGCATGCCCATGTGTGTGTGTGTGTGTGTGTGTGTGTGTGTGTGCGCGCGCGCGCGCGCGCGCGCGTGTGTGTGTTTGGGCTGCAGTGGCCACCTGGGCCCCTGAGCATCACCCTTTCTGGCCCCCGTGGTGTGTAGTTGAGGCATCAGTGCCAGGTCATTGGGAGTAGGGGAGAAGGATCTCCCCCCACCGGAGCAGCAGGCAAAGGGGAAGGGGAGAGGGAGGTGTGAACCTCCCCACAGCACTATTAATAGCCCACATGCCAGGCCACCAAGAACCAGCTGTCACCGTGGAAACCATTTCTACTCTCCCCTCCCCCCAGCTTCCATGAGGTGGGACTTAGGCGGGGCATGAAGCACCCCCCACCCATCTTTCTTTGTTACCTTTCTCTCTTTGTCTCTCCTCTCTCTCCTTCATTTGTCTCTCCCCTTCTCTGTCCTCCTCTCTCCCTCACTCTGCTCTCCCAACCCCCGTCTTCCTCCCTCTCCCTCTGCTCCTTGTCTTCCCTGACTCTACCCCCATCCATCCCTGCCCATCTCTTTGTTCTTGTCCCTCCTCATCTTTCTTCCCCTCTTCCCCTTGTCATGCCTTTCACCCTTCTCCTCCTCTTTCTCCCCTTTTCTCAGCCCTCCTCTTGATGTATGTCTTTCCTACCATGGTTGGCAAGGAGGTGGGCTGGGCTTTCCTTACAGCGTTAAGGACAAAGTTCAGGGGCCCCAGAGAAGTGACGCCAAAGCCAAGAGCAGACACTCAGCAGAGTGGTGTGTGTAGAATTTGGGGCTAGATTTTGGGGCCCAGAGTCCCCTCTGGCAGCCCCAGGAGTCTTTTGGGAGAGTCTCTTGGGTCCGCAGGACCGCAGAGTGGGACAGTCCGGCAGCGGGAACCTGGCATGGTGCCCGTGGATGCCGCATTGGCCTCTCGTCTCTGTCCCCCCCATTGCAGAAGCACTTAAGCTTAATGAAATGCTTCCCCCTCTGTGGGCACCTTGCCCACACTGCCACCCGGCAGCTCTTATCTGACAAAGAGGGAGTGGGTGGCCAGGCCAGCCGACAGGTGGGTCTTGCCTCCAGGCAGTCTCAGAAGACTAGCTCCACCCACTCTGCCTCCCTGGGGCTGAGCCTCTTCCTCTGCAGGGGGTGTGCCAGGCAGGAGCTGGGGGAATTGGGCAGGATTCCAGGAGGAGGGGTGAAAGGCTGCCCTTCAGGGTGGGTATCCCTGCCCCGCCCCCTTCCCCCGCTGACCTTTTTCTGCCCACAGCTAACTCAGGCTCACGTTCTTGTGCCTCCCCGCATGCTGGGCCCTCTGCTTGCTCTGTTGTCTCAGTGGCCCAGGCATGTCCCCCAAAAGATAACAGGGAGTCCTAAGGGGTTCCAGCCTCCTCCTCGGTGCCAAGTGAGGGTGCACTTAGCAGCAAGGGCAGCCCCTTGCTCCTCTGCCCACTGCCAGGGGCTCAGTGGAGCCTGGGTGGCACCCACAGACATCAGACACCATGTCGCCCAGCACAGAGGTGGGGCAGAGTGGTAGCCTCCCCCACCCCCAGCAGGCACGTGCAAGCCCTTGGCAGTGCCCAGACACATTTGGAGTTAAGGCTGGGCTGGGGAGGGGGAAGGGAAAATAAACATGGTGGCTTAGGTTGGCACTGCCCCAGGTGTGCCCTGTAGCAACTGGCAGTGGCCAGAGGGAGGAAGGAGGGGGTCCCTGAGAGCTACGGCCTGGGGCAGAAGCCGCCCGTGCCATGCCATGTGGTGCTGCTGGTGTGCCCAGCCCACGGCGGCTGATACCCATTCCCACACACTCTGGCCCTCTTCGCCTGCCCCTAGGGCCTGCTCCCCAGGGCTGCCCCTCTCTCAGCGTGCCCACTCCTGTGCCTGCCTCCTCCCCTCCCCGGGGGTGCTTGGGCCTCAGGCTGGCGAGTGGATTTTTCCAGCTTCTGTAAACAAGTGGTGGCAGCATGCCAGGTGGGCAGGAGACAGGCGGGGGCAGCACCGCAGCCAGGGTGTGCCAAGCACCGAGGCACCGTCTTGGGGTGGGGGGGAGGACAGGGAGACACCCAGACCCAGAGAGAGAGAGAGAGAGAGACATTCAGATGCAGACAGACAGACCAAAGGAAGCTTCGCTGGGCAGATAGAAGTAGAAACAGGCGACAGAAAATAGCCCTCTATTGTCCAGCCCAACCCCCATGACTGCCTCGGCCCCCTACCCCTCACTGCTCTGGCTGAGAGCAGTGGGCCCCAGTGCCCAGGCCCTGGGCATCCCCACCCACCCCTCCTCCCCCTACCTCCACCCCTAGGGCTGGCTACGCCATTATAAATTTATAACAGGAATTTCTCCACAAGCCAAGAAAAACTTGACCTACTTTCTTGACGGCTCCCTGGGCTAAGTCTCC